ATGACAGCTATTGTTGGTCATGAGCTGGCCAGGTACAACATTGCCATAGCCGCACTCAGTGAAACCAGAAGGGCAGACACGGGCAGCGTGAGAGAGATGGGAGTAGGTTACACTTTCTTCTGGAGTGGCAAAATGGAGACCAAACCACGTGTCTCTGGTGTAGGTTTTGCCATACGGAATGACATAGTCTCATGTCTCACATCTCTTCCAAAAGGGATCTCAGATCGCATAATGACCCTTCGCCTGCCCTTGGCAAGCAAGACACATCTGACCCTCATCGGCGTCTACGCACCCACTATGACTCATTCCATGGAGGAGAGGGAGGCTTTCTACTCGAGCCTGCGCAAAGTCATCCGCAGTGTACCAAGCAGGGATAAGCTATTGCTGCTTGGTGATTTTAATGCCCGGGTTGGCAGAAACAAGGATGCCTGGCCTGGGGAGTTGGGCTCACATGGATATGGCAGCGAGAACTCAAATGGTCTGCTGCTGCTCAGCCTCTGTGCAGAGGAAAACTTGGTGATCACCAACACTGTTTTCAAACACAAGGATGCACACAAGGTCACCTGGATGCACCCAAGATCGAAGCATTGGCATTTGCTAGACTATATTATTACCAGACAACAGGACCTTGGAGACATTCTTGATACCAGAGCACTGAGAGGCGCAGACTGTTGGACTGACCATATCCTCCTAAGATGCAAAGCCCTCTTCACCATACACAAATCAGTAAAAAAGAAGCCAAGCTGCATTAAAAGGAAGCTTGATGTATCACAACTCAAGTGCAGTAATGTTCAAAAGACGCTGCAGGAGCAGTTGTGCGAGCAACTTCCCACCCTGCCCGTCGACACTGAAACACCTGAGCATGCCTGGCGCAAGTTTAGGGAAGCAGTATTCTCAGCTGCGGAAACAACCCTGGGTTTCTACAAGTGCAAACATCAAGACTGGTTTGACCAAAACAACCAGGATATCCTCACTCTGATTGAGGCAAAGCGCTCTGCTCATGCTGCATGGCTGAGTGACAAGAATTCTGCTCCCAAGCACGCCCAATTCAAGCAGCTTTGCAGGCAGGTGCAAAGCCGCACGAGGGAACTGAAGAATGCCTGGTGGGCAGACAAAGCTGCTGAGGTACAGGATCATGCCAACGAAAATCGGACCAAGGAGTTCTATGATGGGCTCAAATCCATCTTTGGCCCTGTTCAATGCAAAACGGCTCCCATTCGCAATCGGGATGGCATGCTCCTCATTGACAAAGAGGACATATTGAAGCAATGGACTCTTCACTTCAGTACCCTCCTCAACCAGACCTCAGCAGTGGCCGATGAAGCACTGGAAGGCATTCAGCAGCGTCCCATCATCCTAGAACTTGATGCCCCACCAAATACTGCAGAGACCGTTGCAGCCGTCAAACAGCTGTAAACAGGCAAGGCCCCTGGTCCAGATGGAATACCAGCTGAGGTGTTTAAAGCTGGCGGTGAAGCTCTGATCACCCACCTGACCAGGCTGTTCCAAGTGTTCTGGGCAAACGGTAAGCTCCCTCAGGACTTCAGGGATGCTAACATCATCCACTTGTACAAAAACAAGGGTGATCGCTCGTCCTGTGATAACCACCGCGGGATAAGCCTACTCAGCATTGCAGGCAAAATACTAGCCCGCACTTTGCTGAACCGGATCACCAAGCACATACTGGATGATATGGTGTCAGAGAGTCAATGCGGCTTCAGGAAGCAGAGAGGCACTGTGGATATGGTCTTTGCCATCAGACAGATACAAGAAAATTGTGTCGAGCAACACCAAGACCTCCACCTGCTCTTTATTGACCTTACGAAGGCATTCGATACAGTGAACCGTCCTGCACTCTGGGCAATACTTAGCAAGCTTGGTTGCCCACCTCGATTCGTAGAGATCATCCGCTCCTTCCATGATGGCATGCTTGGCAGGGTCATAGAAAATGGTGATGCTTCTGACCCTTTTCCGGTGGCAAATGGCGTAAAGCAAGGTTGTGTGCTCGCCCCAACTCTCTTCAGCCTTCTTTTTGCACAGATGCTTTCTGCAGCACTCGCCCAAACTAATGCAGGAGTCACAGTACACTATCGTACAGATGGCGACTTCTTCAACATCCGTCGCCAGAAGGCTCATAGCAAAGTGCATCAGGCAGTTGTGCGAGACTTCCTCTTTGCAGATGACTGAAGATCTCCAAGAGCTTGCTGACTGCTTTGCCACTGCAGCAAAGATGTTTGGGCTGACAATCAGTATTAAGAAAACCGAGGTACTGAGACAGCTTGCACCAAACACCACTCGGCCTCCACCCAACATCACTATGGATGGCAATACCCTGAAAAATGTGGAGAGCTTCAAATATCTAGGCAGCAGTATAAATTCTGCAGCCAACCTCGATGATGAGGTTCTGTGCCGCATCTCCCAAGCTAGCCGGGCATTCGGGCGTCTTCACACACGAATATGGCAAGAGCGGGGCATCTCGACCAAAACCAAGCTGAGCGTA